TTAGGGCGCTCGCCGACCATGCACATGGTCCGGGGTTCGATTCCCGGCCGGCGCACTCCTTTACCTCGCTAAGCTAGCTAAAATGCTGGTAAAGAGGAAAGGTTGGGCATGAGGCTAGCAACCACATCCTGTAAAAATAATCACCACTGCTACAGAAAATTCAAGCCACTAACTTGAAGCCCTATGTTCCACTGGGAACGTGAAGGAATAAAAAAACAAAATGAATTTATTTAGTTAGCCACACGAAGCAATAAGAAGACGCAGTTTTGTCTGAATCGTGTATTGTGTATGTATCTCCGTGCAACACTTATTTCGAACAATCTGATCCATCACACACACATACAAGGACTTATCACAGGAGTACTTATATATGTGGAATTGACAAAGAGTTAAGACGAGTTAGGTCAAGTTAAAAGGAGGACATATTGAAGGTCAACATAACAATGAAGATCAATCACTAAACCAAATAACAGATATAATAGTACATCTACCCTGACTGGTGGTGATCAAAACAAAGTTTACTAACGATGGTAGGTTTAGTGTGATGACGACTAGTTGCTTTGATTGCATAAAGGTGGTTTGAACTAGCTAGCTAGGGCTAGGGCTAGCACAGACTTTGGCATATGCTCTACACAAACACATTTCGTAGATATGTTGAAAAGATGTGCAAACGTCAATTTTATGTCCTGTCTCCTGTGTAATATATTTGGCGATATAGAGGAGCTAGGTCGTCGCCTGTTCTTACCATGATTACGGTCAGGGGACTCTATTTGCCTCTAGAGCCATTTATAAATATGCTCTGAAACCCTTACTTACTCTATTTAAAGCCTTTAACAAAAGTAGACTAATATTTGTTAGAAGTCTGAGGTCGAATTTAGACCACACGTAATACAATTTTGTTTGTCCATTATGCATTTTAATGGCTATTCTTTCATGACTCATTTGACTGGACAAAGATTTTCAACATACACGAGATGTTCCTTTCGATATATATATATAAACCTCTGTTACATTAATTTTGATTAGTTTCTCTGAAGAAGTTTGAACCCGCTTGCTGGTACACAAGCAACATTGGAATTACTCATTTCAATTTCGCTGAGATTTAACACAAAAATGTAATTTTCACAAATGTCTACTTCTCACTCGGCGCCCAATTATTTTGTAACTATATTCGGTCAAATCTTGATCACAGTTCATATGAATGAATTATTTTGCAATCGAATTCAATTAACAAAGAAACTACGCTAACTGATACTACAATCCATAATGGATAAGAATTTATTTTAAATCACACAGTGTAGTACAGTTATATTAACTGATGACGTTTCGAGCACAAACTATTGCTCATAATCATATCAAGTTACTCACACAACTTCTTTCCTTCATTTATATACATGTGTGGAATCGATTAGATATTGGAATAAAATTCAATATGAGATAATGTACATTCAGAAATAATAGTACGAGTGTTATTAATCCATTGCAATTAGATGGGAAATACAACGAGTGTTTTTACAGTCATAATAAGTTGATTGATAGAATGTTTTGATGTGTTTGAATGGAAATAGAATACAATTTAAGATTATTTATTATCCGCTTCTGATTTGACTGGTAGCAATAATCAGAAGCGGATAATAAATAATCTTAAATTGTATTCTATTTCCATTCAAACACATCAAAACATTCTATCAATCAACTTATTATGACTGTAAAAACACTCGTTGTATTTCCCATCTAATTGCAATGGATTAATAACACTCGTACTATTATTTCTGAATGTACATTATCTCATATTGAATTTTATTCCAATATCTAATCGATTCCACACATGTATATAAATGAAGGAAAGAAGTTGTGTGAGTAACTTGATATGATTATGAGCAATAGTTTGTGCTCGAAACGTCATCAGTTAATATAACTGTACTACACTGTGTGATTTAAAATAAATTCTTATCCATTATGGAATTATACTCTACCACAGTGCCCAAGTTTTATACTTATATCAATGATACTACAATCATCGTGTTTTCAATCTCCGTTGTCTACAACATGATGTATATTGCTAAATCCATAGAGCTGTCCAGTCACCTGACAACTCCAGTAGGTCGATTAAAGCAGCTCATTCCGCGACTATAGCGTTTGCACGAGAAGGCGTTCATAGAGGAACCAAAAATATGGAATCATTTCCAATGCAAATATCCAATTTTATTGGAATCTTATCTGTCTTGGTTTCGCCAGAATTGAAGACTGTCATTACCAGTAATATTTTAGTTTAAAGGAGAATTTTATCTTCAATCCTCAAGACGGAGACAAATCAATAAGTTCAACCGTCTGTTTCAACTAAACTCTAATCCTAAACATCATCATTTTGAAAAACTATACCTCCAATCATAAAATTCTAGATACTAACAGTTTGAACAGACGTGAAGGTGTGATGTTTGTTAGCTGATGCATGGCGAATCCTGATTAATAAATTTAAAAAATGGATATGTATCACTAATTAATCATACTTGGTCTAAATTCCCCATTGTCTATATCTTCTTATGGAGAGGCTAACAAATGTTTTACAACTGTTTACCCATACACACACACCATTGTATACCGCATATACATATATATATATCCTTCATATTCAGTTATCTACGACCATGAACTTTTAGTCGAGAGGAATCACTGAGATTGTGATGAAAAGTACACTGTGTTTAAAGTGTTTAACAAAAGTAGACTAATATTTGTAAGAAGTCTGAGTTGAAATTTTGATCACAGCTCGTACAATTTTGTTTGTTTATTAAGCATTTTGATGTCTGTTGTTTCATGACTCATATGATGATTGCACAAAGTTTTTTTTTTACAAAAACAGATGTCCTTCTTATATATAAACCTCTGTAACGTTAATTTCAATGAATTCCCCCTGAAGAAGTTCTTGCCACCAGTTTGTAGAACGCAGGAAACATTGGAATGACTCATTTGAATTTCGCTGAGATTTTGCAAAAGTTTTTAATTTTTACGAAAGCCAAATATCCTAGATAAAACATTGAACTTGTGCACTGTGGTAGAGTATAATTCCATAGTGGGTAAAATTTATTTTGATAAAGTCTCACAGTGTTAAATAGTAATCTTTACTGATGACCACGTTTCGAGCATAATTTATTGCTCGTAATCATATCAAGGTGATATGATTATCCATAATGGAGAAAGAGAAATACTTCCTATCGAAGTCGAATATGTGTCCCGTTTATATCGAATGCCGCGGAGTCGCTGATCTGTTTTCTAGCTTCTTTAAGTCTGTACAGGTCTTTGGGATCACCTTTAGACATTGTTTGTGCTTTTTCAGTCTTACATTTATTTGCCTGTCTGGAAATTTCTCCTACACTAACAGCATCTAAATCCCCAGAATTCATCTGGTACGCACAATATTGTTGGTTGTCTTCTATTTTATCCTTCACCTTCACCAGTAATGAGTGTAAGGTGTCCATGGCACGAAAATACACGCTTATGTCATGATTGTTGAGGATTCCCAGTTTCTCATCCGATGTTTCTTTGCCGTAAGGAATCACCAGTACCGCACTAACCCAATTGTTAATAACACGATTCGATGCATCCTTATCTTTACATTTTAAATACCTTTTTATGTAGGCTTAAGGATAATTATTTGATTCAAGAGTGGAGTGAACCAATTTAAGCTCCCTTCCTGCTGATCTCCACCCGCTCAGTAACTAGACTTTTGTCTCTGTTAATCAGATTCTCGACCACAATCTTTTTAGTGATAAACGGATGTGATGAATAGTAAATAGTCTATACATCTCTTCAAATTTGGCGGCATTCTGAAAATGTATATTTTTCAAGTTTAACATCTGGTTCCCATCTCACTAAACACTTCAGGAACGCCGCATATCCTAGTTTCAAAATTCACCTTCGACAACATCATAAGAACGCTTGACGAACGAATAATCCCGACTAAAAAGAAATAACAGTTAAAACACACACATGCATATTCAATATTCTTTATTGTAGTTTACATATCTCAGCATATTTGTTTGTACAGAAGGCTTGGTTGGTTACCAAGACTCACTGACTCACAGACTGACTGACTATAAGTATAGACGTCAGTTGAACAGTCATCATCATTATTATTTCTATATATATATGCAAATGTATGTATATTAAACAAGACGAGTATTTTCTTCTCTCTCACGTGTGAAAAGGGTTAACCACGACAAAACAAAAAAGAGTTAGAGGCATACAACTGAGGTCAGATCAGACAGGTTAGATAACACGATAACTCTTCATTCATTTATAACACATATAAGCGTAAAACTGAACAGTATTAGTCAAAATAATAATAATGATAATAATAACAATACTGCTGCTCAAATATAAATGGACAGGACAAGGTGTTAAACACATCGATGAAAGGAATTCAAGGTAGGTTAACTCCTCTCTGTGTGAGTGTGCATTACATTATTTAAACAAAATAATATCTTAATGTTTCTTTATTGTATGTCGACCGAATGAAAGATCGTATAAATTTATATAAATTTGTTAGGGAGTACATTTGAGTTGGGCGCTCATTGCTGAAATAAAATAAAACAAAAGAAAAGGAGGAATTCAGGATGTGAGAATTGATGAAGTCAGACACACACACACAATGAGTGTGGGATAATAATACGAATTCACAGTCTGCTGTCTCTCCTGTCTCTCTCTGGTTTTCTGTCTTGTTCTCTTTTCAAGAGAGCGAAAAGAATACAGATGTTGGAAGGAAAGCATGAATAGAGTATTTTTATAGAACAACATCTTACACATGGAATAACTTCAAGCATACATGTTAGGCAGTGTGAATGGATTCGTGGAAGGCAGGAAGGAAGGATGGATGGGAGAATGTTCAAGTGTTATACTGACTGAATTCTGCTTGTCAGGCGTATATTGAGTGATTTCGCCAGTCAATTTTTACTTTATTTTTAGATAAAACACACTATATCACTCATTCTCATGACTTACAGTTATCGAGTATCATTATTAATATTATTATTATGGAAATCAGTAGTATTATTAGTGTTATTATTGGTATCTTTTGAATTGGTTAAATGGACGTCGGTATTTGGAGTGTTTGTTGTATTGACAGAATCAACTTGTTGTATTGATGTTTGTACTGGTTTTGGTGTACGTGAACATCTTTTCTTGAATATGAAATAGAGGATTACACTGAGCAAGGCTAATGTGAACAGGACAGCTGTAATGATGATAAAAGCTAAGAGAATCTTCCGATTATGTTCAGCTTCTGGTGTACTTGTCCTATTGGTGTGTTTTGTTTTGTTAATTTTTGTTAATTGGTTAGTTTTTGTTTGAGAGGAAAGCAGAGAAAACGCGGAAAAAACAAAGAGAGAATGCATATTAATGGTAACAGTAATTTATGTAGAGTTATACCCAAATTGAGGAAAAAATAGTAAAATTAAATACTGGATTCAATATATTTCCTGTTACTAGTTTGACCGCGGATTGATTGGTAACTCAGTTAGAGAAGCACTGAAAGTTACCAGCTGGGGCAGTATTGCCAGACAGCTGTTTCCTCCAGTCTAGAGCTTGGAACTGACTCATCGCACCCACCCAGGAGCTTCCGGTTACAAGGCGAACGAGCTCGTAGACCATCCAGCTAACCAATAGCAAAGCTCAGCCTTGAGGAACTCAACAACCAATCACGGCAGACTTAACATGTTCAAATATGATTCGCAGTGATATGACTTAACTTTCTGAGAAACGGCCACAAGCAGTACAGAATAACCTTCAGTAAGAAAACAACCAATCAGAAGACGTTGCTTCTCCACTGACAATAATGTACATAAAAATTTATAAATACCTCTTCATTTTCTTGATAAACAATCTGTTGCCTAGTCCTTGTCTTCTGTCGTTACAATCTCAGTTGCATTCATTAGTTGATAATCATATTTTTTAACTAAAACTAGTCACATATTCATGAATATTAGAACAAGACAATGTAAGCGAACAATATTGTTGTTTTCAAATAGATCTTATCCAGTCTTTACTCTAATTTACATAGATTTATATATAAAACATAATAACGATGATTTTGTAGATCAAATAATAATAATGATAACATGTTTATACCAGTTTGACCACGGATTGATTCATATCAGTTAGAGAAGCATTGAAAACCAGGGAGTACTGGACAGTTGTTTCATCAGCCTGGTTTGGGAATTATCGGCAGTACGCACCCACTGGGGTTCGAATCCAGGACATTCCGGTTACAAGGCAAGCTAGCTCGTATACTATTCAGCCACTCACTTGGACTCGCCCGATTCAATGGCCAACCAGCCAGTGCATGAATTCTAACTTCTATCAATTCCTGATGGATTTACCGCGACTCGCACCAACCGATGTCACCGCGGCGGGAAATCTATTTTCACGCTTGACGACTGGATGCACCTCACTGGTCGCAACTTCTCACTAGGTGTACTCAAGGCGTATTGGCAATGAGTCGCAAATTAGGCTGACGAAATAGCTGTCTGGCAGTACTCCTCCAGCTGGCGGTTTTCGATGCTTCTCTAACTGAGTTATCAATCAATCCTCTGTCAAACTCGAAAAATTGTATATATTTTTATTCATTTATTATAGTTGGATTCCACAGAGTAGTTTGGTACAAGTATGGAATTTTCAGCATGTGATATCAGCAGCCAAAAGTTAGCAGACTGACCATTGATATCAGGTTTGCGTTAGCTGGGGATTGAACCCCAGACTATATGCGCCTGAACGCTATGCCACCAACACACATAAAGGGAGGACCACTGACAAAAACTACATGCCCAAGTGAACCAGATTAGGGTCCGTCGCGAGTTTCAACCCACTGAGGTACAATGGTGAGTCTCCACCTGGAGTGGGAGCATTCTTGATCACCTTGATCCGCCGCCAGGTATATTATATAAATGTGACGGAAATAAAAGACAATTCATCAGCGAACAAAATGCTTCTTTATCAACGAAATCATCTTCGCACGCTGGCTGTACAGTAGTCGAATTTATAGTTACCAAAAATGTATACTTATTCATTATTGAATAATTGGTGTGTCTGTGTGTGGGACATAATTGATATAATTAATCAGAAGTGGCTTCAAAAGTAAAAATAAAAGTTTAAAATTTAGTGATACCTAACAATGGTACAAAAGAAGAAAGTGTTGGAAATTTTATACCACCGACAATTGATCAATGGATGTTTTAAAGATCAACTGCATCTCTGAACGAGCCACTTCAATGTGTATTTATAAATTAATTTGTTCCTGTGGAGCTAGTTAGGTTTGCCGTACAGAGCGGCCGCACTCTTTCCAAACGCATCTCTGAACATTATCCGGCATGGTTAGCAAAAAGACAACGTAAGACAGTTAATAGCTGAATTCTCGAGCAATTAGTGAACTCAAGGCACGCAGCCTCTCCACAGTCGTCTTTCATGATCATCTACAAGGTAAGACCAAAACGGTACAAAGGGCATGAGGTTTCGGCATGTGTGTATGGCGGAGGCGTTGGCAATTCATCAATACAACCCCGAACTCTGAATACAGAAAACTTTTGTCCAGTCTCTTATTCTACCGTGGTCTTAACCACTTCATTAGTCGTTTCCTGTAAAAAGTTTTATTTTTAAAATTTTAATTTTAGTTAGATTATACTTTAATAACTAATTCACTATTATCACTCTCGTATGTTCCTTTTGGTACATTTTCTCACCAGCCTCACACTTGATAAACTGACACTCGACTACCACCCTTCTTCTCATTACTCAAAAACAAATTTAACCTTATCAAATTTCTAACGCGTGAGTATCTTGCTAGCCTTTCCGATTCTGACTTTGACATCTTAATCCGTGCCATCCATCTGTGGTTGAAACGGTGCTGCATCCTGGATAAGTGAAGGCGGGAAGTAACCTTTGTCAAATCTCTCCCTCTGATGGTGATCGGTGCTGGCTGTGGTTGTTGTCGTCGGTGGTTGATTGGTTGGTTGGTGAATTATCTTCATCACCAGCGTCTTCTCTATATTCACCTGGATGGAGTCCTGTCTTCGCCACCAGTCAGCCTATTCAGCCACACACATATATAACCTCAAAAGCTGTTAGTCTGATTTCACCTGTGTCATACTGTTTTACTTATGCTAGTCAACTTGATAAATACAATGATTGAATAAAAAGATAAATAAACTATCTGTCTTACTTCAATTTGTACAGCAAGGCTCCTAGACTCCATTGTAATTCTGTGTTGTTGATTTCAAGAGCAGGTTGTAGTTTTTCATAATTCTCTGGAAAGTGTAAACCTTTATGCAGGGCACTCAATAAATACGAAGCTTTAAAGCATATTAACCTGGAAGAGAGACACAGAGGAAGAGAAAAAGGGATATTATAGGATAAGATATAACGGGTAGTGTATTTTTATTTAAAAAAATGACTGAGCAGTAGGGAATAACCTTTTCGATAATCTCCTCCTTCTCTGACTCTACAATTACATGTATCTATATACATCTTTATATACATCGAATATTCTAGAATAGTCTCGCCAATAACCATATTGGTGTGTTTTTGTAAATACTATCGATCTGTTAATTGAGATCACAATGGAATTACAGACAGTTCACGAAAGATGCTGCTTAAATTATAATAAGAAGCATAAAAATATAATAGAAAATAGAATATCAAATACAATTAAGGGTATTTTCACAAAAAATTGAGCATCATTCGAACCTAGATGACCAAGGTAAGGACAATGTCTGAACCGGCTTCTTTTAAATATAAATTAGGCTTCTTAATGTGGATCCCAACAGCCAGCCTCAGCAATATGTAGTAGACGAACTCTTAGGGTGAAGTTAAGATTAGTCGCTTGATATACGGTGAATGACTTTGAAAGCCTGGTTAACATCTATTCATAGCGCTATTCTATCTCACTCATCTCATGGATACAGAACACAAGATTGATGTTAACGAGGTAGGTGGCTTTCACAATCATTTACTGCATAGCAACAAATATTAACTTCACCTTAAGAGTCCGTTCAAAATAATCAACAGACAAAATAAATCTAGCCTGCTTTGTTTTTCTAAGGCAATCGTCATCGAATGCCTTAAAGCACATCTGTGTACGCAGAAAGAGACAGTGGGGGTGAATCTTAAAGTGCCTCGGTGATAACAACGCACAGGAATTTAACTACATCATCTTCTGTCCTGTTTAGAAGACTTGGATTTTTCGGCTAAATATTATCCCTCATTTTTGCCTATTTTATCAAAACGTGTTTTTCTTTGGTTACGTAACCTATTACTCTTTTTATACTCTTTTGCTCACAATCATTATGAGTAATAAATTGTGCTCGAAATTCGTTCATCAGTAGATATTACTGTATAACACTGTGAAACTTTATCGAAATAAATTTTACCCAAAATGGAATTATAATTTACCACCACAGTGCACAAGTTTTATTCTTATATCAGTGGTAAGCAAAACGATTTCTGAGAAGAACAGTGCTTTAGGAGAGATGACTGGAACTTTAGAAGTGGTATGCTGAGGAGCAGTTTTCAACTGGTCTACAGTAGAGCACAATCTACTCAAGCGGCTAACACTTATACAAATGAAATATCGAAGTCGGTTACCCAAATGTAACTGAAGTCACAAAATCTGTTTCTAGTGCAAAGCGAAGCATAGCAGTAGGACCTAATGTAATTGTGGTGATGTGATTCAGTGTGTTCCAGATTAGAGGACTGAACGTTGATAAGAGATACTTTAGTGTATCAAACAAGAGTTTATCAAGAGTTGCTTTATAAGGATTTGATTTGTTTTTACGAGTTTGACCACAGATTGATATCGGTTACAGAAGGACTGATAACTGGCATGCAGTACTGGACAGCTGTTGCATAAATCTAGTTTAGAAATCATCGGCACTAATCACCCACCTCATTGTGGTTCGAACACAGGACCTTCTGGTTACAAGGTGAAGTAGCTCGTTTACCATTCACCGAATCACTGGGACCCGTCCGATTCAATGGTTAGCCACTTCATGAATTCTAACTTCTACCAATTCGTGATGTATTTAGAACGACTGGCACCAACCAATGTCATCGCGGCAGGAAATCCATCTTGTCTAACTAATATCAATTCGTGGTCAAACTCGAAAAAAACATATATATATATATGTTTGAAATGACCTTGGGAAGCACTAATGCGATTGATAAATTTAGACAGTGAACAACCAATAGGATTTCAAGGGTCATAAGTAGAGTGAGAGAAAACTAGGTCATAAATCATAAGTGGTCATAAGTGTGGTGGGTGAGAGAAATACAAAGAGATATGTAAAAATGACACGTAGAAAAAAGTTAGGAGTAGATATCATTTATCAGAATCGATATCTTAGAATACTGTTGTGTGTGTCTGTTTGTGTAGTCAGAGTCATTTCTACGCAACTCATGAATGATTTACAAGGTGATGCGATGTCAGTCTGAGAAATATCGAAGCTTAAAGGATGATTATTGCAGGAAGCCTTGACCGAAGTCAACTGTCGCCTTCAATTTTCAGTAGTCTATAGACTTTTTAAATGACTACCTCCTCCCTTCTCCACACACAGTCTGCACATAAACAGGCTGACTCAATTCACTTCTACTGCTTCGCATAACAACTCATCATTTTCAAGTATTGGTTTGTAGGGATTTGACTGATTGGTTACAGGATTTCATCATGAGCACTAACATTGGTTAGAGAACCATTGGGAAACTTGTAAGGTTATTACTGGAGCCAAATGAAGGTGAGTCTAAATGGTTTAATTTAATGCCCAAAACCAATAACCCCAGTAGGATGTATGGTGTTGTTAAAGTTCATAAGTCAGAATACCCTATTAGACCTATAGTTGATTTTAGAAATTCACCTACTTATGAATTATCTAAATATTTAGCCCCTTAAAAGCCACTCAAAATCTAGACTAACAAATTCTTATGAACCAAAACGTAGATTGAATAGTTTAAAATTAGATAATGAAGAAAAAATGATTAGTTTTGACATTGTCAGTTTATATACACGTATACCGATATTCAGTATGGCTATAGAGGCAGTCAGAAACGAACTGATTTGTGACAGAGAACTCGAAATTGGGACGAAAGTGCTACTTGAGGACAAAATGCTGGGAGTGCAGCTATGTTTGACTTCCACAGTGTATAAATTTCACGGAGAAATATACAAACAAACTGAGGAAGTTACCATGGGGTCACCAATATTCCCGGTTGTGGCAGACATATTCATGGTTAGGTGGGAAAACATAGCGATTGGAACGTTCACGCCCACCTCAAAAGTATGGTTGAGGTATGTAGATGACACATTCACCGTACTTAGAACACAAAATATAGGTGGATTTTTCGAACATATCACCTCGAAGGTAGAGGTAATTCAATTCACTTATAAATTGGAAAGTCAGGAAGGGGAACTTGCAGCGTTAGACTGTAGAGTAAAAAGCGAAGAAGATGGGAAGTTAAACACACTAGTGTTTATAGAAAACCTACACATTCAAACAGATATTTGGATTTCCGATCATCCCATCCTGTGTCAGTGAAAGTAGGATTGATGAAATGTTTAAGTGACAGTTGGGCAGAAAAACTAAGTAGTATCAAGGAAAATCTAAGACAGGAAGTGAGGCACATAAGAGAAGCTTTGAAATTTAATAATTACGCTGATAAATTAGTCAGAAAGTATGTAGGGAAATATAAAAATAAAATAAATAATGATAACAGTGACAGTGATAATAATAATGTTAATATTAATGACGACATGTATGTCAAACATGCGCAAGATAATGACAACATCAACAATAAGGAATCTTAATCATGAGAAGTAATTCCATACAAGGAAGGAAGCTCGGAAACCACCCCACGGTGGAGAATTCTTAACAATGCAGGCAGGAATAAAAGTAGCTGGCATTGAAACCACCCACAAACTCAATTAGAAACAAGCTTTGTTTATTAAAGGATCCCGGCTATGGAGCCAATAAAACAAAACAATTTAAGGGCGATGTAAAAAGTCAAATAATTATGAAGAAATTAAAAAAATCAGTTCAAAGAACTTTTAATGCTGGCAAACTACACGTCTTATTCTCTACACGACCGATGGTGATTCCTCGACTAAAAGATGAAGTACTTAGACTAGCCACTTCAAATTGTATCTACCAATTCAGCTGCGCTTGCGGGGCGAGTTATATCGGCCGTTGTTCTACGAACTAGATTTTTTGTGCTCGAGAACACCTCCCAGTATGGCTAAGTAAGGGTGTAGTAAAAACTATCATCAGTTCGATATTAGACCATGTGGTACAAACTGGCTACAAAGCCAGCGTTGAAGAATCCACCGGGTGCCAAATAAATTGCCAACATCATCGAACATCAGCAAACATCAGATACTATCGCAATTCACATGAAACAATCAGTGCTATGTCTGCGAAAAGAGCCAAGTTCAGCCACTACTACTCCCCTACCCAGCCTTCAGTAGAGACTATGAATTCATGAATTTGTAATATTAAGTTTATTGTTATGTTGATGCTGTCGAAGTGTAATTTTATTGATATTATTCTCATTGATTCGATGTTATTTAAACATCAGTGTGGTTCATAACACTAATTCATTTACTACTATTATGTGTATATAACTGTAGAGCCTGATGATGAAGTGATCGAAAAGAGTATTCTTTGTTCAATATCCATTCTTTTGACAGTTCAATTTATCTAATGCCCTGCAAATACCTCCCTTCTCAGACTATCATACTTTGTAATCTAAACGGGATAATTTCATCATAATTCGAACATTAATACAAAGAAGACCAGTAGTTCAGCGAAGAGTCTATTTTAGGCGGCGAATTCACTCATCACTCAACTGCAAATCTGAAATATATATGTGGTCATTTTCTATGTGTGCGTGTACATTAAATTTGTCAAACGAAAATACAATTAGTACGTTTTTTTGGTGTAGTTACGTAATGTAAAATGCGTTCAGAGGAATTGGATGTTGATATAAGAGGGTAATAAAAAAAGTGATGAGTTTTTGTTCGACGTGTATCCTGTCAAAACGAATCAAAGAACACTATCCAGCGTGGTTGCAGAAAGAAAGTAGAGGTCGTATAAAAAAAGAGTGCAATAATCTAGTCAACAACACCGGTCATTACATCTCAACAAACGCCTCCTTCAAAATAATTTAACTACACAGTGAAGAACAACCACACAAAGACAACACGTTTCCATCTTCTTTGCATTGCAGAAGCCCTAGTTATTCAGTTAGAAGAACCAGAACTATGCGTACAAAAGAAAATTATTCAGTCACTTCTACTATCATGGTAACAACTCTGCTGATTGG